AGTTGTAATTAATTTTTAGAAATTTATTTTATTAATTTTTTCTACTATTTTTAATAAATTTTTTTTCTGAATTTATTTTACTTTTAATGTTTAGATGTTATTGTTTTAAAAATAATAATATTTTTTTAATTTAATTTAATTTTTACAAACTCATCTTTTCTTTTTTTAAATTTAATGTATTTTAGTTAGATTTTCCTTTAATTTTTAGATTTTATAGTTTAAAAAAATCCTAAATATTTTTTAATTTATTTAAATTCCAGAAACTTATTTTATTTATTTTTTCTTTTTTTATTTAATTTGCTTTTCTCTTTTTCAGTTAATTTTTCTTTAATTTTCAGATTTAGTTTTAAAAATAAAAATATTTCTATTTATTTAGCACTTAGGTGCTATTTTCTTCTTTTATGATTTAATTTTTTTTATTTTTCTAACTTAATTTTTAGATTTTATTTCATTTATTTTTGCTTTATTTAAATTTTTATACCCGAGCGCACTTGTGCACAAGCGTGTAATAACTTTGTTCACATAACGGTTGTTTGTAACAGGCAAAACGAATCGAGATAGATATAGACAAATGTATACATAAACGATCAGAATGAAAAGAGAAATCGATTAGGCGGTGACTGTCTGTCCGTCCGTCCGTCTGTGCACACGATAACTCGAGTAAAAATTGAGATATCTTAACGAAACTTTGTACGCGAACTTCTTTCGCGCGTAGGACGGATGGTATTGAAAATGGGAAAAATCGGACAATAACCACGCCTACCTCCCATATAACGGTAATTTTCAGAAATTCGAAAACTGCGATATTTTAGTAACTACTGAAGGTTATTCACTCAAAATAATATTTATAATAATTTTAGACGAAAAATAAATATATTATAAATTTTTGGAAAATGGGCGTGGCCACGCCCACTTATGGTTACACATGTATATCTTGGTAGCCACTGCACCAATTTCTTTCAAACTTAGCACAGTTGTTGGCCTTGGTACAGCATACCAAATGGCCGAAAATTTTTAAAATCGACAATAACCACGCCCTCATCCCATATAACTGTAATTTAGAGAAATACGAAATACTCGATAAATCAGTAAATACTTAAGCTAATTTATTTAAAATTGATGCTTCCAACAATTCTTTACCAAGAAATACATTTATGGTAAAATTTTGGAAAATGGGCGTTTCACCGCCCACT